GACTGGATCAACGAACAACCTCGCCCGGCGGTGGTTGATGCGAGGCGGGGAGTTATCCATTTATCCACCGCCTGGGAACCGACGTCCTGGTGCCCTGGCGGGCGGTGGATATGGATATAGTTCGGCCCAGGCTCCGAAAACTGATCCTCCAGGCGGTAGTCATGTATAAATTCCCGCCTCGGAGTTGAAGTCGGAGGGTTTGCCTGATTCGGCTTTCTCGAGGTTGTCTCAGGGCTCTTCGGGGGGGCCCTCTTGGGGCCTTTATGTGGAGCTCCTGTCGACCGTCTTCGGCTACACGCAAGAGCGACCCTGGGCAAAACGCGGCCAAGGGGGGCCCTTTGGGGACACCCACCAGGCGCGCAAGCTGCTGCTATCGCATCGCCTTGAGCGATCGGGAGGAACCCAGTGAGCCCTCACCAAAGGTCACTCCAGAATAGAAGAAGAAAAAACGCCATAAACATAAACTTTGGGCGGTCCGCGCGGAGCGCCAAACGTTTGTGTTTATAGCGTTTTGTCCTCTTCGACGGAAGGAGCACTCTGACGTGTGGTCGACGTCTTGGGGCCTTCTTGGGCTGCCTTGGGGCCCTATCGGGCCGCGTGGGCCCCGTCGAGGCCGCCTGGCTCTCACCAATCGGGCCCTCCTAGGAGATTAGGTCGGGCATGTCCTCCTACAGGCGAATTTGGGAGGAAAAACAAGACACTGTTGGACTAATATTTAAAAATGACCCAAAATAGTCGAAAATCGTCCCCCGACTTTTTGGTTGCCTAATTCTGAGTGTTCCTCCTGTCGAGGCGCGCGCCCGACTTCATCCTAGGCGCCGAGCCTGCGGCACGGCCACGGGGCTCTCGCCACTAGGGGGCAAACAAACCTACCTCGCTTTTGACCACCCTCGCTTCCAAGAGATACCAAGTGATGCCAAACTACGGCCTGTACTGGTCAGGCCGCTTGACGAGGAGGCGCGTGGTACGACTTGGTTTTGTCTGGAAGCGAAAGCGGGGTAGGTAATGCACGCTCTGAGCCACTGCCCTCCCGGTGGGGCTCCTGCAGCCCTCAGGCGACCCTCCTGGCGCCGTGCCGGGGCCCCGCAGGGGCCCTCGCGGGGGCTCCGAGGTGCAGCGAGGAGAGAAGGTGCAGCCCATGTCCAGGGGATCCCCTCCCAGGCTTCTGTCACGCATCGCCATGGCGGCATGCTGCCTTCCAGTATGCCTTTTGCTTTAGAAGAGCCTCCATGAGCTGGATCTGATCTCCAACCTCATCCTCATCCTCATCCTCATCCTCATCGTCATCATCATCATCATCATCATCATCATCATCATCATCATCATCATCATCATCATCACCATTACCACCACCACCACCACCACCACCACCATCATCATCATCATCATCATCATCATCATCATCATCATCATCATCATCATCATTACCACCACCACCACCACCACCACCACCATCATCATCATCATCATCATCATCATCATCATCAGTATCATCATCAGTATCGTCGTCGTCGTCATCATCATCACCACCAACACCACCACAACCACCATCATCATCATCATCATCATCATCATCATCATCATCATCATCATCATCGTCATCGTCATCGTCATTGTCATCATCATCATCCTCATCATCCTCATCATCATCCTCATCAGCATCCTCATCATCCTCACCACCATCACCATCAGCATCATCATCATCATGATCATCATCATCATCATCATCATCATCATCATCATCATTATGATCATCATCATCATCATCATCATCATCATCATGATCATCATCATCATCATCAGCATCGTCATCATCATCATCGTCATCATAATCATCCTCATCATCATCATCGCCATCATCACCATCACCATCACCACCATCAACACCATCATCATCATCATCATCATCATCCTCATCATCATCATCCTCATCACCATCACCATCAGCACCATCATCAACATCATCATCCTCATTATCATCGTCATCATCATCATCAGCAGCAGCATCGTCATCGCCAGCAGCATCACCATCAGCATCATAATCAGCATCATCATCAACATCATAGTCATCGGCGTCATCATCATCACCGTCATCATCAACATTAGCAGCAGCATCAGCATTAGCATCATCACCAGCATCGTCATCAGCATCAGCATCAGCATCATCGTCATCAGCATCAGCCTCATCATCAGCATCAGCATCCATCATCCTCACCACTAATTATCAACATCATCATCATCATCAGCAACATCATCATCGGCATCATCATCGTCATCATCACCAGCATCAGCATCAGCATCAGCACCATCATCAGCAACATCATCAGCAACAGGATCATCCTCAGCATCATCATCAGCATCATCAACATCATCAGCAACATCATCACCATCATCATCGTATTATCGTCATCACCATCATCATCAGCAGCAGCATCATCATTATCATCGTCATCGTCATGGTCATCATCATAATTGCCATCATCATCATCATCACCACCACCACCATTATCATCAGCATCATCATCGGCGGCATAAGCATCGTCATCCTCATCATCATCACCATCATCACCACCGTCGCCATCCACATCATCAGAAGCAGCATCATCAACATCATCATCCGCATCAGCATCATCAACATCAACAACATCATCAACATCAGCATCAGCATCATCATCAGCATCAGCAGCATCGTCATCAGCATCATCAGTAACACCATCACCAGCATCATCACTATCATCATCAGCGGCGTCATCATCGACATCATCGTCAGCCGCATTATCAGCATCACCATCACCACCATCCTCATCCTCATCCTCATCCTCATCCTCATCATCATCATCATCGTGATCAGCATCATCACCATCATCACCATGAGTGCCATCAGAATCATCATCAGAAGCAGCATCATCAACATCATCATCATCAGCATCATCAGAAGCATCATCATCACAATCATCATTATCATCGACATCCTCATCATAACATCATCAACATCATCAGCATCAGCAGCATGGTCATCAGCATCATCAGCAGCATCAGTACCGTCAGCATCATCATCACCAGCATTATCATCGTCATCGTCAGCATCAGCATCATCATCACCAGCATTATCATTATCATCATCGGCGTCATCATCATCATCAGCAGCATCATCATCAGCATCGTCAGCATCAGCATTATCAGCATCAGCATCATCTTCATCATCCTCAGCATCATCAGCATCATCAGCATCAGCATCATCATCATCATCATCATCATCATCATCATCGTCATCGTCAGCATCATCATCACCACCACCACCATCATCATCATCATCATCCTCATCATCATCTCATCGGTATCATCATCGTCATCAGCTTCAGCAACATCATCAGCACCAACAACATCATCATCATGATCATCAGCATCAGCATCATCGTCAACACCACCATCACACTCATCAGCATTATCCTCATCATCAGTTTGATCAGAATCGCCATCATCATGATCAACCTCATCGTCAGCATCGTCATCATGATCATCATCAGCATCACCATCATCAGCATCATAATCATCATCGGCGTCATCATCATGGTCATCATCAACAACAACATCAGCATTTCCATCAGCATTAGCATCAGCATCATCATCAGCAGCATCATCATCGTCAACATCAGCATCATCATCATCATCATCATCATCATCATCATCATCATCATCATCATCATCTTCAGCATCATCATCAGCATCATCAGCATCACCGTCATCACGACCATCATCATCATGGTCATCATCATCATCATCATCATCATCATCAATCATGACAATCGTCATCATCATCATCATCCTCATCATCATCATCAGTATCAGCATCATCATCACCATCATCGTCAGCATCACCAGCATCATCATCAGCATTAGCATCAGCATCATCATTATCAGCAGCAGCATCATCATCACCAGCATCATCAGCATTATCATCAGCATCGTCAGCATCATCAGCATCGTCAGCATCATCAGCAGAATCACCATCATGATCGTCAGCATCATCATCATCATCATCATCATCATCATCATCATCATCACCATCATCACCATCGGCATCGTCACATCGTCATCATCAGCAGCAGCCTCATCATCAGCATCATCAGCATCAGATTCAGCATCAGCATCACCATTATCATCAGCAACATCATCCCCATCATCATCAGCATCATCATAACCTTCATCAGCATCAACATCATCATCATCATCATCATCATCATCAGCATCATCATCATCACCATCATCAGCAGCATCATCATCATCAGAGGAGGAGGAGGAGGGGGAGGGGGAGGAGGAGGAGGAGGAGGGGGAGGAGAAGTAGGAGGTCAATGCCGGCCTGGGAGGAAGGCATCAGGGGGAGATCGGCTGGCCCCCGACGTCAGGGTCCAGCCCCGCAGCATGCCGTCCCTTGCTTGCGCTGCGCTCCGCAGCGTCCACGCGCCCGCGGCGCGGCGGCCGCGGCGGCTGGCCACACCTGGCCGCCCAGCCTCTCGACCACACCACCGCCTCGACTGCTGGCTCTGCCGCAGAGTATCGATGCGATGCGATGCTGCGATGCGATGCGACCACCGTTGCGGACAGCGTCCGGGCCTAGGGCAGACCAGGTGGGTGAGGCCATGGCCTCTAGGATCTGAGGTGTCTGGATTCATGCAATGCGAGACATGTAAAAAGTTAGGAGGAGAGGGGGAGGAGGTTGCTAAATGTGTCCCTGGCCCAAGGTGCCCCCAGCTGTTCGCTCCATGCTGCATCCCCTGGGGCCCTCCATGCCTCGTGAGGGGTGCTCTGGAGGCCGCGGGGGCCTCCTTGGACATCCTGGGGGCCTCCTTGGGCCAGGGGCGCATCTAGAAAGACCCGAAGACGAGGAAGTGGCAGGGAGCGGAAAGGAACTCTAAGTGCAAGCCGTACCCAGCGTGAGGGGCGCCCCAAGAACTCCCCGCCTCCACCTGCCATCCCTCCCCCCTTGCAGGCGAGGGCTCCTCGGACCCGGAGGCGTCCTCTTTGGCCGCGGGCGGCTCCTGGCTGCCGGGCCCGACCCCCACCCCCACATCCTCATCTCCTCCATCTTCCCTCCTTCCTCCTCCCCCTCCGCCTCCTCGTCCCTCCTCCCTCTCCCTCCTCCTCCTCCTCCTCCTCCTCCTCCTCCTCCTCCTCCTCCTCCTCCTCCTCCATCCCTATCCCTGACACATAACTCCTCCCTATCGCACCCCCAGACGTGTCGGTAAGTAGTGCCAGGCGTTTTGCCTGAGACTTCCTCATCAGTTGACCCCGAAGCTGGAAAATTCGCACAGCTTCAACGATGAAGGGCGGGTCCTTTCCACAGTGCGGCTCTCGCCTCAGCGCCGCGCGCATTCGCTATAAAAGCTTGCAACAGCTTCAAGGACGAAGGGAGGGTCCTTTGCAAATTGCGGTTCTCGCCCTAGCGCCGCGCACATTCGCTTGAAAGGCTTGCAACAGCTTCAAGGATGGAGGGCGGGTGGTTCTCAAAATGGGGCTCTCGCCCTAGCGCCGTGCACATTCGGTGTAAATGTTTGCAACAGCTTCAAGGGTGGAGGGCAGGTCGTTTTCAAAATGTGGCTCCATCGTTAGAAGTTTGGCACAGCTTCAAGGACGGAGGGCGGGAGCTTTCAAATGTGGCTATCACCTTAGTGCCAACGCACATTCGCCTAAAAGTTTGCAACTGTTTAAAAGATTCGTTGGGTTACAGTCCCAAGAATGGTGTTCGGACAATCTTTAGTATTGTCACGACGCAACAGTCACGTTGATTCGCGGTGTTGAAGTCCCAGGAATGGGGTTCTGACACGATGCAAGAGCGTTAGGACACAACAGTCATGTTGATTTGCGCTGCTGATCCACAGGAACGATGCTTTGGCTCTCTCAAGCGATTGTATATTCATGGGACGCTTCCCGCAGTGAGAATAACTTCTAGGGACCTGTGAAGGAGCTTGGAGGGAGAATGTTTCAGCATGTCAACTTCGTTTACGCATATTGGATTGACACTGGTGCTTCCCCTCCTCCCCCTGCAACCCTCCCTCCCTCCTCTTTTCCTGTTCCCTTCTAGTTGTTCCTCCCTCCCTCCTCCTCCTCCTCCTCCTCCTCCTCCTCCTCCTCCTCCTCCTCCTCGTCAGCATCATTATCATCAGCAGCAGCAGCATCATCATCAGCAGCAGCCTCATCATCAGCATCATCATCAGCATCAGAATCAGCATCAGCATCATCATTGTCAGCATCATCCTCATCATCACCATCAGCAACATCATCATCATCATCATCATCATCATCATCATCATCATCATCATCATCAGCAGCATCATCACCATCGACGTCGTCATCATCATCAGCATCATCATATGTATCATCATGTTCATCATCATCGCCGTCGTCATCATCACCATCATAATCGTCGTCGTCGCCGTCGTCGCCGTCGTGGTCGTCCTCGTCCTCGTCCTCGTCGTCGTCGTCGTCATCATCATTAGCATCATCATCATCATCACCATCAGCATCATCATCATCATCATCATCATCATCATCATCATCATCATCATCATCATCATCTTTCTAACCACCACCATCATCAGCAGCAGCAAAAGCAGCATCATTATCAATTATCATCATCGTCATAGTTATTGGCATCGTCGTCGTCATCGTCATCTTCATCGGCCTCATTATTGCTCTCCTCATTCCCCCTGCGTCTCCCTGTCATTTTCCTCCACCATCCTCAACGCCTCCTCCCCCGTCGCCCTCCCCTCTTCCTCACCCCCCCTTCCATCATCCCCCTCCCCCTTGATGGCCCTTCCCCTCTCCTGCGCTCCCCCGTCACACCGCCCTGCCCCTCTTCCTCATCCCCCCTTCCCGTCCCCCCCGCTCGCTCTCCACACTCCCCCTCCCCATCCCCCCCTTCGGGCGTTGCTCCAGAGGTGCCCCTGGCCCACAGGTGCCCCCGGGATTCTCGAGGAGGCCCCCACGGCCTCCAGAGCACCCCTCGCGAGGCCCAGAGGGCCCCACCAGGGGCTCCAGAGGTCGGCGAAAAGCAGGGGGGGCACCCTGGGCCGGGGGCACCTCTGGCAACCTCCGACCCCCTCTGCTCCGCAGGAGAAGACACCGGGCGCAGCTGCCGCGCAGAGGCGGCGGCGGCGGCCGCCCACACCGCCCCTTTGCCGCGGCCCCCCTGGGCCGGGGGCGCCGCTCCTGCTGCCGCAGGACAGGGTCCGCCGCGGTGGCCTCGGCGGCCGCCGTGGTCGACTGCTTGGCAGACTTGATGGGGATCTGTGGGCCGGGCCGCGCCGGGCCGCGGACACGGACTGACGAATGTCTCCCTCGCCCACGGCGGGGACGCCGAGCTCCCGGGCCGGGGAGCTCGGCCAGGTGCCTCGGTGATTGCAGCCGGACAGGAGGGGCCGAAGGCCCTCCGCAGAGCCAAACCACCCCAAAGCAGAAGTACAAGAAGAAGACGAAGAACAAAAACGCCATAGACATAAGCTTTTGGCGCTCCGCGCGGACCGCCCAAAGTTTTTGTTTATGGTGTTTAATTCTTCTTCGAGAGAGGGGGCCCCTGAGATCCTGGCGCTGCAATGGCTTCCATCGGGCCCCAGGGCCCTCACGGATCGATCCTGCTCAACAAAGGGCGAAGAGCGATGGGGTCTGGGGCTCCAGTTTTTTTAGGGCGGGCCTGTCCCCCTACGGGGGAAGTTTGGGCGAAAAGTTAAAAACAGTCAGGAAAAATTCAAAACATATTCAAAAACACTCAAAAAATCCGCCGGCCCCCTTGTGGGGCCACCAGGCTGCGAGGCGCGTGATTCGCAGTTTCCTGTACCAGTTGTAGTTTGTAGTTTCCAGTGTTACAGTTTTGCTTCTTGCTGGTTACTGCAACTAGTTGACTGATTGCTGGTTACTGCAACTAGTTGATTGACCGCGCGAGTGGGGGGGAGGCCCAAACAGGATTTTTAGCCTCACCTGGGCGCGTTGTCTGAATTGCTGGGGAGGCTCGAAATCGACACCCCTCACGCAGATCCGCGGGGTCAGGGTCCAAAAACACAGGGGATTTGCCACATTTCTGAAATTCGGTGCCACCCCTCACGCAGATCCGCGGGGTCAGGGTCCAAAAACACAGGGGATTTGCCACATTTCTGAAATTCGGTGCCACCCCTCACGCAGATCCGCGGGGTCAGGGTCCAAAAACACAAGGGATTTGCCACATTTCTGAAATTCGGTGCCACCCCTCACGCAGATCCGCGGGGTCAGGGTCCAAAAACACAAGGGATTTGCCACATTTCTGAAATTCGGTGCCACCCCTCACGCAGATCCGCGGGGTCAGGGTCCAAAAACACAGGGGATTTGCCACATTTCTGAAATTCGGTGCCACCCCTCACGCAGATCCGCGGGGTCAGGGTCCAAAAACACATGGGATTTGCCACATTTCTGAAATTCGGTGCCACCCCTCACGCAGATCCGCGGGGTCAGGGTCAAAAAACACAGGGGATTTGCCACATTTCTGAAATTCGGTGCCACCCCTCACGCAGATCCGCGGGGTCAGGGTCCAAAAACACAAGGGATTTGCCACATTTCTGAAATTCGGTGCCACCCCTCACGCAGATCCGCGGGGTCAGGGTCCAAAAACACAGGGGATTTGCCACATTTCTGAAATTCGGTGCCACCCTTCACGCACATCCATCGCAAGGCGTGGTAACCCAAACTGCGAGAACTCCTCGGCCCTTTAATCGCAAGGTGTGGTAACCAAGCCCGTAAACCATACACGTCTTACCAATCGCCAGGTGTGGTAACCCCTCTTGTGATCAGTTGGTTTTGCTGATTGCGAATCGGCTTCGCATGAAGTTTCGATACTGCTTCACGACAGCGCCAAGACCTCATGACTTAGCTCTTCCATGGCCCATTCTCCGAGGGAGGGGGCCGGCGGCAGGGGGCGAAGCCCTTACGGATCGTCCCCTGATTATTTGTTGACTATTTTTGAATATCCCTCCTGTAGAAGAACAGGCCCGACTTAAGGCTCCGGTGCTGATTTTTTAACGACGCCGCAACTATTTTGGGGCAACGTCGGATCTCCGGCACGGGGCCACGAGCGGCGGGCGTGTGCGCAGCCGCGCCCTCGCGGTCTGGACTCTGGGGCGCGCTGCTGCGGGTGCGCGGTCGCATGGATGAGTTCCACGCGGGGCATCCGCCAAAAAGGAACGCACGAAAACCGCCCCCCCCCCTGTGGGGGTGGTATCTTTGTGTAGGTGGTTTGTGTGTGTGTGTTCTTGTGTGTGTGCGTATCCTTCGGTATTTCCCATTATCATTCTCTCTCTCTTTCTCTCTCTCCCTCTCTCTCTCTCTCTCTCTCTTGCATGCCTCTAGGTCCAAGTGGCTTCGCTGTTTATCCAAAAATATCGATGCTCATCTTTGTCATGCGAGCACGAACGGAAAATGTGTGGCAGCTCGTGGAAACGCGCTTCGCCAGAGAAGCCTTGCGGGAGCCGAGCGGGAGCGGGCGGGAGCGAGTCGGCAGGTTTCTCGGGTTGAGGTCAGCGTGCACCTATTGCAGAGAGCGCGGGTAGAAGCGCGCATGGTTTCTTGATTTGGCCTCTGCGCCTTGTCGCAGGGAAGCTAAGACTCTCGGGGGAGCTGTGTAAATCAATCAATGCGAGAAAAAACAGCGGCGCCACAGATGCGCCATAAGTGTGGAAACATATGGGAAACGCATTAGAAACGCTTGACGGCGTAAACGTGCGAACACACTATTACTTCATGTATTTATTGTTTCTAGTCAGATTATTTGGAATTCTGTGTGAAAACACGAAATGCCAAAACAAACAGCGGCGCCACCGATGCGCCAGAAGTGTGGAAACATATGGGAAACGCATTAGAACCGCTTCAAGGCGTAATCGTGCGCACACACTATTACTTCATGTATTTACAGATTTTAATAATATTTGTTGGGATTCTGTGTGAGAGCAATGCGTGCGAGAAAAAAAAAAAAACAGCGGCGCCACAAATGCGCGAGAAGTGTGAGAACATATGGGAAGCGCATTAGAAACGCTTGAAGGCGTAAACGTGCGAACACATCATTACTTCATGTAGTTTTGGTTTTTCATTCAGATTCTTTGGGATTCTGTGTGAAAACACGAATTGCCAGAAAAAACAGCGGCGCCCCAGATGCGCCAGAAGTGTGGAAACATGTGGGAAACGCATTAGAACCGCTTCAAGGCGTAAGCGCGCGCACAAATTATTATTGCATGTATTTATGGATTTGTTAAAATATTCCTTTGGGTTCTATGTGAAGACATTAAAAATCAATGAAAACGATGTGTTTTTCAATATTATTGTTCAAAAGTCAATAAAACCAATGTGTGTTCCAAATCTTTTTAATCGAAAATCAATAAAAACGCTGTGTTTTCCAATAATTCCAATTATTTCCAATACTTTCCAATAAAAACGCTGTGTTTTCAAATTTTCCAATGTTTTTCAAGGTTTCGGGTACGGCAACGGTGCGACGCGCGATCCTTGCTGGAAAACCTTGAAAAATATTAGAAAATTGGAAAACACAAGGTTTCTATTTGAAAATATTGAAATAATTGGAATTATTGGAAAACACAATGTTTTCATTAATGTTTGTTGAAAAAGATTGTAAAACACAGCGTTTTTATTGATTGTTCATTAAAATAATTGGAAAACACAGCGTGTTTATTGACTTTTTAATAAGAAAAATTGAACAGCACAGCGTTTTTATCGATTTTCCATTAAAAAGATTGGAAACACAGCGTTTTTTTTTATTTTTTTATTAATGTTCAATTAAAATAATTGGAAAACACCGCGTTTTTAATGATTTCTGTTGAAAAAGATTGGAAACCAAAGCGTTTTTATTAATTCTTCATTAAAACAATTGGAAAACACAGCGTTTTTATTGAGTTTTTAATAAGAAAATAGAAAACACAGCGTTTTTATTGATTTCCGATTAAAAAGATTAGGAAACACAGCGTTATCATTGATTTTTTATTGAAATAATTGGAAAACGAAGCGTTTTTATTTATTTTTAAATAAAAAACTTGAAAACACAGCGTTGCCGTACCCGAAACCTTGAAAAACATTGGAAAATTTGAAAACACAGCGTTTTTATGGGAAAATGTTGGAAATAATTGGAATTATTGGAAAACACAGCGTTTTTATTTATTTAAATAAAACCTTCTGGATGCGGAATCCATCCCATTTCTATTGAATTCCAATTGGAATCGAATTAGAATCCAAATAGAAATCCTCTGGACCTGGGACCCGTTCTCTTTCGATTGAAATCCTATTGAAATATCATTGGGTTTCAATAGAATCTTCTGGATGCGGAATCCATTCCATTTCTATTGAAATCCAATTGAAATCTAATTAGAATCCAAATAGAAATCCTCTGGATCTGGGCTCCGCTCTCCTTTCATTGAAATCCAATCAAAAGCAAACGAAAAACTAATACAGACAGAAAGAACGAGAGGGAGAGAGAGAGAGAGAGAGAGAGGGAGAGAGGGAGACAGCAGAGGGAAATGAGAAACCAGGAAACACACACACAAGCCACCTACACAAAGATACCAACCACCCTTACCCCTCCCCCCTCCCTGAGGAACTTTAGACCAAGCAGACCGCGCGCGCGGGCCCCTTCCCCCGCGGCAGCTGGCAGCGGCCTCGCTGACAGGGCGCCTACGCTAACGCACATTCGCCATAATTGCCAAACGCTGACATGTAAAATCCACGATTGTGGGGGCTGGGGTCGGCTTCCCATGTAAATATCATATATTACAAGTGTTTTATGTGTAAGTGTATATATATATATATGTCTGTATAGATGAAGAATATTTAGAGAGAGAGAGAGAGACAAAGACAGAGAAAGAGAAACAATAAAAAAAAAAAAAAAAAAATGCCCCGTGCCCGCGGGGTCGCGGCCCAGGGGCATGGCCCGCGGGGACGCGGACACGGACAGATGCCTGCTTCGCCCAGGACGGGGGCGCCGAGCGCCCGGACCCGAAAGCACGGCCGGGGTGCCGCCCTCGGCTACAGCCGCCGGACAAAGAGCAGCCCTCAGCAGCATGAGAAGACCGACCCTCCTCCTCTCCTCCAACCTCCTCCTCCTCCTCCTCCTCCTCCTCCTCCTCCTCCTCCTCCCCCTCCTCCTCCTCCTCCTCCTCCTCCCCTCCTCCTCCTCCTCCTCCTCCTCCTCCTCCCCTCCCCTCCCTCCCCTCCTCCTCCCCCTCCTCCTCCTCCTCCCCCTCCTCCTCCTCCTCCTCTCCCCCACC